AGAAACAGCAGTCTCTAGAACATTCTAAGAATTAATGCATGTAACACACTTACTTTCCAAAACAAATGGATTTTGAAGGGTTAGGAAAGCAGAGTTGTAGGACATCTAAAACGACACTGAGGGGCGCCTGGCTGGCTCAGTCAGAAGAGCATGCGACTCTTGATCTCAGGGTTTTGAGTTCAAGCCCCATGTTGGGTGTACAGATTACCAAAAAAATATACTTTAAAAAAAATAAAAAGACACTGATTTGCAGCAGTGAGGAATATCCTTAAGAACAAATATAACATATATTGGAAATTTTCGTATACTTAATAATACTTTTCCATCCGGCAAAATCAATATTTTATAAAAACTAAGAGAAAAAGTAGGGCAATCAAAAAATGAAAAAATATAGCTCAACTATTTTCCTATCTTTTCCAGTACTATTACACATCCATTGAACAAATTAGGTCTCTGGCAAAAGTTTCACTGTTTTGGACTGAACTGACCTGTCAATTTTGTCAACCAACTCAGTGGGAGAGAGTGTTTCATTCATTTGCTGTTGTCTGAGTGGAATGGCTGTGTTACCATTCCCTACACCCAACCTGGCTATATCACAGAGGGTTTCCAATGAAGGTTTTTCAGATTATACACTCATCCAACCTTAACTCTCTATACAGTCCAGAAATTATTTTGTTACCTATCCAACAAACCTTCATTAGAGGAATAACAGAAAATTAACAGATTACCAGCAAGCCAAAATTTTTCTCTGAGAAATAATGAAAGTTCTACTAAAATTAAATGTTTGACTCTTGTAAAAGCTAGAGAATACTCAATATAAATCTAAAAATCCCACGTTTTTACTCACTGCATTTTGACTTTGACTAGATACAGCAAATTCTTGTTTGATTCACAAAACGAGGTTCTTAGGTGTTCATTCTCTGCCTCGAGAGGTAAGTGTAATTTTTTAAAAGCTGCTTTCTTTCAGTCAGCAGTAAGAAAATAATCTATTGGGAATGCAAACTGGTGCAGCCACTGTGGAAAACAGCATGGAGCTTCCTCAAAAAATTAAAAATAGAACTACCATATGATTTAGTAATCACATTACTGGGTATTTACCCAAAGAATACAAAAACACTAATTTGAAAGGACATATGCACACCTATGTTTATTGCAGCATTACAACAGTCAAGTTATGGAAGCAATATTGAGATGAATGGATAAAGTGTGGTACATATATAATGGAATATTATTTAGCCATAAAAAAGAATGAAATCTTGCCATTTGCAAAACATGGATAGAGCTAAAGTGTACAATGATAATAAGTGAAATAAATCAGACTAAGACAAATACCATATGATTTCATATGTGGAATTTAAGAAACAAAATAAACAAAGGGAAAAAAAGACAAAACAAGAAGCAGACTCTTAACTATAGTTGAGAACAAACTGATGGTTACCATAGTGGAGGTGGGTGGGTGGATGGATGGATAAAATAGGTGATGAGATTTTCACTATATTATATATCGGAAATAACATAACACTATATATTAACCATACTGGAATTAAAATTAAAAACTTTAAAGAAAAATAAAAGAACCTATGCTAGATTTTTCATCTTTCAATGCACTGCAGCAGAATCCTTTATTTTACATTTTCTTCCATTCTATCAGCAACCCAGATGAACAGACACTACTCAACAAGTATATTTATTAAAAAATAATTGCCCTGTTCTCTGTGAAACATCATGTGGATTACAAAAACAAAAAACAAAAACAAGAAGCCATGTATTTTCCCTTTCTACTAAGAGCCTACAACCTAAAAGTGCTATTAAGAGAAATGATTGATTACAAAGACCAGGGACATCTGGGTTTCAGTGTTAGTGCTCAGTCTCTCCTTAACCAAAATTTCATTAGGCTCCTTGGAACTCCCTTCTCAACTAGGGCCTGACTTGTTGGGCTTCCTTGTTCTTCTCTGCATTATCTAATTTTAGCAAGAATCCTTTTAGCTGGGTATAGCTAGAAACCCCCTTTACCCCGATGTAGTAATTTTCCATCCATTGACAACCCCCCTTTGACCATAAATGTCTCCTTTTCCTTGTATTCAGAGTTGAGCCCATACTCGCTTCGGCAGCACATATACAGAGTTGAGACCAGTTCTTTTTTTTCTTCTTTAACACATTTCATTTTTTTGGGGGGGTAAGATTTTTAAAAATTACTTATTTTTGCCAGAGAGAGAGAGAGAGCATCCAGGCGTCTCGAGATGAGTCCAGTTCTATACTGAGGTCTCTCTTCCCCTATTAAAATAGCTTTTCTGAATAAAATGTTTTTATTGCTTTAATTATTGTCAAGTTCTGGTTTTTCTGATAGCACCAAACTAGTTAATTGTTCTTAAGTTGCTTAATCTTTTTGGGTTTACTCATTTGTAAATTGAAGGGAGATGGGAATAAAATGAACTCCAGGGACCCCTGCCAGGTCTAAAATTCTCATGAAGAAGAGTGCCTGGATGGCTCAGTCGTTAAGCATCTGCCTTTGGCTCAGGTCATGGTCCCAGGGTCCTGGGATGGAGCCCCACATAGGGTTCCCTGCTGGGCGGGAAGCCTGCTTCTCCCTCTCCCCCTGCTTGTGTTCCCTCTCTCGCTGTCTCTTTGTCAAATAAATAAATAGAATCTTTAAAAAAAAATTCTCATGAAGAAATCTGGTAGAGGAAAATGAGGTACAGAAAAATTAAGCGATTTGGACTTGCTGGAGGTCATGGGAGCTGTGAGGCCAGGATGTCATCCAGGTCTCTGGATTCCCAGCACAGTGTTCATTTAACAAAACCAGCTGTCTTTACCTCAATGCTGAAACCAAAAGCCTAACAAATCCAGTGAAATGCCATGGCATCCAGCATGCTACTTCAGCTGAAAGTGCCTCCTTCATCTTACAATCTGTTGTTTAGCTTTCTTTAATCTCTAAGCAACATTACATTTGTTTCCTAAAATCATTTTTCCTTCTGGGAATATAAGTGATATTACTTTTGGCAATAAAACTAGTATAAAACATAATCTTGAATGTAGATGACAGCAAAAAGTGAAAGATTTTATCCTCTCTACCAATATTTCCTTTTTTTCTTTTATTTATTTGAGAAAGAATGAGAAAGAGAGAGAGCATGAGAGGAGGGAGGGGCAGAGGGAGAAGCAGACTCCCTGCTGAGCAGGGAGCTGGATGATGGGGACTCGATCCTGGGACTCCAGGATCATGACCGGAGCTGAAGGCAGTCGCTTAACCAACTGAGCCACCCAGGCGCCCCTTCCTTCTTATTTTTTTTAAAAGTCCCAGTTTGGTTTGGAAGTGGGCCCTTACTTCTTTATCCTAAAAGACTCCTAAATGCCATATGGCTCAGCAGAATGTACACCTATGATGCCAGAAGCAATTCTACATCTGACTCCAGGACTATTTTGCAGTGTGACCTCAGCAAGATCAATTTACTTCCTCCAAGTTTCAGTTACTTTACCCATATCTAAAGTGAGTTATAAAGTGATAATTAAGATCAAAGATGTGAAGTTTTAAAGTACTAAAAATCTTTAAAAAAACAAAACAAATAAACAAGGAAAAAACAAAAAAAAAACCAGACTCTTATCTACAGAGAACTGGTGGCTACCAGAGGGAAGGTGGGTGGGGGGATGGGTGAAATAGGTGAAGGGGATTAAGAGCACACCTATTTGGTGAGCACTGAGTAATGTAGAGAATTGTTGAATCACTGTATTAGACACCTGAAACTAATACAACACTGTTAATTACACTTAAATTAAAATTTTAAAAAGTATTAAAAATCGAATGAACATGGTGTTTGCATGGCATGATAAAACCTCAAATATCCACCCTCTTCTAAATATAGGGCCACATTTTAAAAACTTATATTCTATTGCTGCTGCTTGGAATTTTTTTTAATACCACACTAAATAACGCCACTTCTTCCTCGGTGTCTTTCTATGCCATTTTTCCTTGAGAGACAAGGAACAAAATACCATACTTTAAAGTTAAGCAATGGTTAGAACACACAGAATCACAACCATCTTTTCACTCCACTTTCCAGTTATCCTCTAACGAGTTTAAATTTTGCTAGTAAAAGTCTTCTAGAATGTTATGTTTTCTGTGAAACGCAAGAAACGAAATGCTACGTTACCCAGTAGTGGTGGTAGTCAGTATTTTTAACACATTTCAATTTCCTGTTCACTCGCACATTATGACATCATTGCCTTCCAGTGTTTGGGCTCATTAAATAATTCTGTTTCTATTTTGTTCCCTTACCTCCAATGTATATACTGCAAACGTTCCATTGTTCCCATTATTTCAGTGAAGAAGCGCAATAAAAATGACTTTGTATTTGCACACTCCTTTGCCCGGTAAATACACTTTCTCTTATCGCAACTGAACTGGAAAGGTCAATTTCTCACCAAAGACAAGATCTAGACAAGATCAAATAGCAAAAGCAAGGCCCAGTGGGAAGGCGGGGAGGAGTCAATGTATCACCCAAACACGACGGATTCTAGGGCATCCACAGATAAACAAAGGAAGTTGATTTTCCCACGACGCCGCCTGGGCTCCAACCAACCCTAAGCATTTGTGCGGAAGCCAACTGAGCTCATTACCTTGAAAACGCAGTCCAAGTGCTGAATTTTTCTAAAGGCTCCTATTATAGGCGGACACCCACCAGAAAGTCAATGGAGGCAGAGATGAATAAGGAACTGAGTGGGGCTGACCTTCGATTCCTCCTCCCACTCCACCAAAGAACCTAAACACCTACCAACCCCAACATACCCACACAGAGCTCCTCCGCGGCTCAAAACACAATTTCAGGGGCAGCAGAAAGAAGGGAGTATGGGGAATGGGCTTCAGGTGCGGCGAGTGCGAGGAGCAGGTGTGAAGTTCAGAAGGGCCAAGGGCGCGTAAGGCAGCACCGAGCCGACCTGAGGGGAGTGGGCGCCGGCTGCGCGCGACCGCACGAACGGCCGGGGGCGTGTTCGAACCCCTTCCTCACCTGGCAGCCCTTCTTGTGATGAAAGCCGACCACCACGATGTGCAGTACGGGCCCCCGGGGAGCGCCATCGCCTCCCCGCCCGGTCTTCTCCATGGGCGGCCGCTGCGGGCCCGCAAGCCGACGATTTCAACCGCCAAGGGCGGCGGGCCGGGCGACCCCGCGGTCCCCAGGAGGACGGCGAGCGGCGAGTTTCGGGTGTCAGCGAGGGCGCCGCATGAGGGCCGCGCAGGGGGCCCGGAGGAGGCCGAGGCTCCCACAGCTCCGCACCGCCCCCCAGGGCCGCGGCCGCGCTTCCCTCATCCGCTTCCGCTGCTTCCGGGCTGTCACCTGATGCGGCGGCCGCCGCCAGCGAGGAGGGGCGGGACAGGACCCGGAGGGAACCTGACGGGGCGGGGCCTGGGTGTGGGGCGGGGTCCGAGGGCCTGGGCACGGGGCCGGGGCCGGGGCGGGGCCTGCGGGGACACAAGGCGCTTCTATCCCCTGGCTCTTCCGTGCGACCTTAACCCGCTTTCTCGTCGTTTGCCCTCTCTTTTTCCTCCTTAAAATCTCCGCTCCTTCCCTCCTATTTCTTTAGCTTTCCTCTTTTTTAACGTCTTTTCTTGTTCACTCTCCTTTATCCAATTCCTTCATCCATTTCCTTCGCCTCTCTGGCCTTGATAACAGGGAGTCATATTGGTGGGGCTCTGTATCTGTGTATTCAACCTTTATTTTTATTTATTTATTTATTTTTTAAAGATTTTATTTATTTATTTGACAGAGAAAGACACAGCGAGAGAGGGAACACAAGCAGGGGGAGTGGGAGAGGGAGAAGCAGGCTTCCCGCTGAGCAGGGAGCCCGATGCGGGGCTCGATCCCAGGACCCTGGAATCACGACCTGAGCCGAAGGCAGACGCTTAACGACTGAGCCACCCAGGCGCCCCTCAACCTTTAAATTACTTGCTTTCCCAGGTTTTTTCTTTTGCTTCGTTCTAGGGTTCTTTTTTTTTCTTATTTAAGTATTATGTATAGGCGTTTGGAAGCGTTTCAAGGCCTGAAGTAAAATATCCTCAACAATAAAGGAAGTTTACAAGGAGACCTGTAAATGATTATTCTAGTCCCGATGTTTAAAAATATATATATTATTTTCATTCTATCTTTTTCTGGTTTTAGTACTCTGGTCAGTACAAAATAAATGTGATCTGTTGTCACCAGTATTTTTAATGTCCTAACTAATTGTACTACTTCAACTTTCTAAGACTAAAGGAGGGCGCCTGGGTGGCTCAGTCGTTAAGCGTCTGCCTTGGGCTCAGGTCATGATCCCAGGGTCCTGGGATCGAGCCCCGCATCGGGCTCCCTGCTCAGCGGGAAGCCTGCTTCTCCCTCTCCCACTCCCCCTGCTTGCGTTCCTGCTCTCGCTATGTCTCTCTCTGTCAAATAAATAAATAAAATCTTAAAAAAAAAAAAAGACTAAAGGATAGGTACCTGCTTCAAATAGAATTCGAGATTACTGCAGTAACTGGCTGTGAAGTTTACCATTACTGGTTGCATATCCCTTAGTTTAGACAACCTTAGCAGTTATTTTACATTTCTGGCCTTGTAATTTAAGGACTTGCATTCTAATTGAAGTATAGCTGAGAAAAACAGTAGGCTTCCTATAAACGAGTTTAGTTTCTATGATTCAGTAGAAGTATTTTAATGCTAATAAAAATATTGTAGAAAATTTTCAAGATGTTGCTACCATTTCTTTACAATATTACAAAATTCTTGGTTCAGAACTGTGTGTGAAACTATATTATTCCCTGTATGCAGAATATCTTACTGTTTTCTTCCATCTGCCTCAATATTTTCCACAATTGGCATAGCCAAAATTAAAGTGTAATAGAACAGTCATTTTAAAAAGATGTAAGGGCATCTGGGTGACTCAGTTAAGTATCTGCCTTCGGCTCAGGTCATGATCCCAAGGTCCTGTGATTGAGCCCAGCATCCGGCTCCCTGCTCAGCAGGAAGCCTGCTTCTCCCTCTCCCCCTGCTACTCCCCCTGTTTGTGCTCTCTCTCTCCCCATCAAGTAAATGAATAAAATCTCTTTAAAAAAAACATATCTACAGTGAACACCAATTATTTAATTCATTATGCAGGAAACCCAGTTACAGCTTTATAAAAACCTGTAACACTTTGCATCCTAGACCTTCCAACTAAGATTAAATCATCTATTCATAACTATTATGTTGCTTAAATGCTTAAAAAGTATATTATTGGGAAAACTGGGAGAGAAAGTAAGGGAATTTCCAGAACTTTTTCCATCTCTAAATATATAGACTGGTCCATTTAGCAGTATAGAATGACAACCTTTACATTGTTTTTTTAAAAAAGATTTTATTTATTTGAGAAAGAGATAGCAAGAGAGAGCACGAGCAGGAAGTGGGGAGAGGGAGAAGCAGACTCCCTGCTGAGCAGGGAGCCTGACATGGGGCTTGATCTCAGGACCCTAGGATCATGACCTGAGATGAAGAAAGACGCTTAGCTGACCCAGGTGCCCCTTACATTGGTTTTTAAATGAGTTGCATTAATATAAAATAAATTCATGAACAAGATATTGTCTTTAAGGACAAATAGGTATTGAGAAAAAAATAGAAATTTCTCCTTTATTTTAAAGTGTTGGAAGATTACCAAGATTGTAAATAATTTGAGATAACAGAATACTTGCTGAACATTATTTTGAAAGGAAACTTTTGCATGTATTTTTATGATGACATTTATCTCCAGGGAAAAAAATTAGAAATGCTTTTCTGAACACATAAGTTGAAGAGCCTCTTCTAGTTACATATATTTTATGATGAATTATACATTCTATTTTATGTCAGCTCTGTAAGTAAGAGCTAAGGGGAGAAAAACCCTGGAGACACAGAGCAATGACATGTTTTCAAGTTCATTAAAAATGGACTCTCCATCTGGAATTGGACTGTTGTTTCTTTTTGCATCTTGCCTAAGGAGAGAACGTGCTAAAATAAAACCACTCCATGCAATCCCCATTAACTCTACTGTGTAAATGAACTATATCTCCTTTTTCAGAATATAAAGAGACATTCTTCTTTATCAATAGTATGAAAATTGCTAATGGAAAACAAAGTATTGACTTTCTCAAATTATATTTTTCCTGAATTTTATTTTTATTTTTTAAAGATTTTATTTATTTATTTGACAGAGAGAGACAGTGAGAGCAGGAACACAAGCAGGGGGAGTGGGAGAGGGAGAAGCAGCTTCCCGCCAGGCAGGGAGCCAGATGTGGGGCTCGATCCCAGGACCCTGGGATCATGACCTGAGCCAAAGGCAGACGCTTAATGACTGAGCCACCCAGGCGCCCTTTCCTGATTTTAAAGTCTATCAAGTAGCGACAGTGCTTTGAATTTGGTCCCTACTCTCCTTATTGGTGTGGTAAAAATAAAACAAGAATAGAAATAGAAAAGAAAACCAGGGAAAGAAAAGGGCTTCACAAACAAATTTGGCATTACTTTGTCTTTAGAATCTTAAGAAGATTAAGGAGAATATTGATGGGGATGAATAAATAGTGAGAATCAATTTAAAGAACATTTATTAGGCCCTACAGTACACCTGGAACTATGGTAGGTACAGTGCATCAAAAGAAATTGGCTCACTTGGTTAAGCGTCTGTCTTTGGCTCAGGTCATGATCCCAGAGTCCTGGGATCGAGTCCCTCATTGGGCTCCTTGCTCAGTGGGGAGCCTATTTCTCCCTCTGCCTACCTCTCCCCCTGGTTGTGTGCTCTCTCTCTCTTCTCACACAAATAAATAAACAAAATCTTTTAAAAAAATTTTAAAAATTGTTGTCTGGTCTATGTCTGGTTATAAAACAAGATAAATGTGAAACCAGCTAGCAATGCTAGCTTTTGTAGCACCTACTCTAAGCCAACCATCATGTTAATAAGTATTAGGAAATAAAGATAAACAAGTGATAAAAGCTTACATTTAATGGATAAGCACTGTGTCAGTCTGCTAGCCACTTTTCATGGATTATTTCATTTAACCTTCATAACAATCCTAAAGTAGATACTATTATCCTCATTTTTTTCCAGTGGGTATATTGACACCTAGAAAGGTTAAATAACTTGCTGAAGGTCAAATAACTAGAAGGAATTGTGGTAGGGATAGGATTCAAACCAAAGTCATTTAACTTCAGAACCAATGAATGTAACTGCTGTACTCCAAAATTCTTGACACTGAGGAACTTACAGTCTTTGGGGAGGAAGGTAACCCCCTGTAAAGATAATTATAGGAGAATACATTGAGAGCATTTTGAAAACTATTAACATTGTTGTGAAACAATGAGAGAGCCTACCAAGTCTGCAGGTCAGAGAAGCTTCACAGAGGTGGTCACATTTGAGCAGGTCTTGAAGGATGAACAGGATTTTACCAGAACTTGAGGCCAGAGCATCTGAAGTGCAATAAAGTAAAATCACGAAGGACTGAGCTTAAAGGAAAACATTTGGGAAGGGAAGAGTTTTATGCCAAAGTTAGAGGTTGAAATAAAAGTGCAGCAAAAGAGGTTTGGTGGTGGGCATATGCCAATTGCACATGGTGTTCCCTCTGCTTGGAATGCTGCTCCTGAGGCCTTTCTGCCTATCCAATTCTTATTTATCTTCCAAGACTAGATGTCTGTCAATTCCTTTGTGAAACTTCCCAAACTGTCTATGTGGGCAAGTTATCTAATCTCTCTTAGCATAAATGTTCCATTTGAACACCTGTCTCACAGGATAGTCATAAAAATTAGGTTTAAGTGTATCTGTAAGTTTTCTGGCACATAGTAGGTGCTCAATATTTATGAAATGCAAAAAAGCCAGAATTGGCTTGGTGTTTAGAAGGCTGAACCCTAAGAAGTTTTGAACTGAAGGAGCCATCTGTTAGGACTTCTGAACCTTCTTACATTTTCCTTAAATCATACCAAGGATCTCTAGTTCTCTGAGGTTCCTGAAGCTAAGAGGTCTTTTTGCTTTATATATTAAATTTTATATGCCTTGTACATAATGTTTGTTAGTAGTCTTTCTCTCCCATTCATCCTTAAGCTCCTACAAGGGCAGAAGATGTAGTTCTGTTTTGTACACTGTTTTATACTCAGCAAAAATGCCAAATAGTGTGTAACTAATGTCTATTTGTTCAATGAATGAATGATGGATGCACTGCAACTATCTGTTGTATGAATGAATGATTCTCTTTCTGGTCTCCTGTTTAGACCCTTCGCCTTTAAGTTCCTGGGATACAAATATAAAACAGATTTAAGGCAGAGAATTTGCTTTCTATTCTTTTCAAAACAGAAGTGCAAAAGCATGTTTCCTAAGTGTGATGACATTAACAGAGAGTGACATCTGCTGGTTACTTCTTAGACAAGACAGTTAAGTGTTAAAAAGTGAATAATAAAGTGTAATAAATTAGACTCCTAGATATGACAAGGTAAGAATAAAATAAGGTAGTAGAAATAAAAAGAAAACGTATTTTAAATTTCCACCCTAGAAAAGTTAAAAAAAAAAAATGCTGGTTGTGGGTTTCCAATTCACTGGACTTTTAAAAGAAGCAATAGATTCTTTCTCTCTCTCTTCTTTAAGTAGTCTCCCTATCCAGCGTGGAGCCCAACGATGGGCTTGAATCCACAACCTGAGATCAAGACCTGAGCTGATAATCAAGAGTCCAAGGCTTAACCGACTGAGCCACTCAGGCTCTCCAGGAGTAGATTCTTTCAAAAATGGTTTTTACAAAAACTGCAACACAGCGAACTGGTGGCGGAGAAAATGAATTGATTCGGTCTGAAAAAAGATCCTGACTTGAGATGAGATGCAACTTCAAAGGGCGCAATAAGACGACTCAAAGGTTGCCGTATTTTGCAAAACCTTCCGGGTTACAGGAAGACTTTAATCCCAAAGCAGAATACCTTTAAATTCTGTCGGAAACTGCCTGGGGAAAGCCGGTAACTGCCAACACCGCACGTTGTTCATTGTACAGAAATACTTACTGAGCGCTCAGGGCCCGGGAAAGAAGCAACTGGGAGCGACTCTCCCGGACTGGTTGGCTCGCACGTTCGGCCTCAGATTGGTCGAGCCTGCCCGGGCTGCCGGAAACGGGGGGGGAGCGGAAGCGCGCTCTTTCAAACCCGCCCGGCAAACGTCGGTGCTGGTAGGCCACTTCCGGCGTAGCCATGGCGGCTAACGCTACTACCAACCCGTCGCAGCTGCTGCCTCTAGGTAATCGTAGGGAGGGGGACCGGAGCGTTCAGGTTAAGTGTTGGGGGCCAAGGGGCTTCGGCTGAAGTAGCCCTTAGCCGAGTGTTGGGGAAATGTGTGGATGAAGTGCTTTACCCCTCCGCGGCTCGTCTCTGGGCCCCCAAGTCTCTGTGGCCCCGGGCCGCCCATGCCTTTTCAGCGTGGTAGGGTTCCTTGAGGCGGGGACCTGTGACTCCCCAACCAAACCGTCACCCGAAAAGGTCCACACTTAGTAAATGCGTCGTAAGCCTTCTTTGTTGTGGGCTCGCCTCTACAGTCATGGGTAACACCCCCACTTCACCTGGCATGTGAGCTCTCCAGATTAGACCCTGTTGTATGTCTGACCGGTTATTGAGAGAAGCACCGGCACCTGGAATGACCCTAAAGGAGAGATCTGGAAACTGGGTTGTTATTCAGCAGTTACTGAGCCTCTATGCACTAGACACATGGCTGGGCTGGGCACTATTCGACAAATTTAAATCACACCCATTGCCTTCAGATAGCACACAAACCATTGGAGGAGATAGAACACTGGACAAGTAAACATCATGGCAAATATTGCTAAGCCAGCTAAAGAAATGTTCGAACTGCTGTCAGAACACAGAGATAGTGACAGGAAGAAATCTCTGGTGAAGACGGCTTTGCCTGTCTCTTACAGTATTTTGTAGCAGAAGAGTTGATTGAATTATTAGAGGTGGCCGTGACTTAAAAGTTTTCATTCCTTTGTTCCACAGACTCTTTTTGAATGCTTGGTATATGCCAGGCATTGACCGTTGAGGATATAGTTATGGGAAAACAACCACAGTCTCTGCTGTCACGGAGCTTAGACTCTGAGGGGAGGGGGTTTATATGTTAATCAAATAACCTAAAATAACATAAAACCGCAATCGTGATAAATTTCAACAAAGGAGAGGTAAATGGTAAGCAGAAAATTTTTGTTAATTATGCAACAGGAATATGTACTATAAGATCTAAAGTTTTTGAATGAATACTTTTGCTGGTTTATCTTTTACCATATGCAAGTAACAAGTGCCAGTAGGCACTCAAATATTTGTTGAAGTAATGAATAGGTAAAATAATCTTTTTCTCTCCCCCTTCACTCTCTCTTTTTTAAAAAAAATATATATATATAGAGCTTGTGGACAAATGTATAGGATCAAGAATTCACATTGTGATGAAGAGTGATAAAGAAATTGTTGGAACACTTTTGGGATTTGATGACTTTGTCAGTATCCTTTTAAAAGGTGGTGGTGGTATGGATTTTTCTTCAGTATTTAAGAACACAAATAATATTGACAGTACTTACTGATTATTATAATAAAAATTTATTCTCAGCATGATAGCGTTCTAAGAGGTGTGTATACTGAAAGAAGATAAAAGTTTCTACCAAATACAAGTATTTTGTATTTGAGCCATCGTGTTAAACACTGTAATTAAAACCGAGTAAAGGTAGAAGCCAGAGTAAATTCAACCTTAACACCAAATTTCAGATATGGTACTGGAGGATGTCACTGAATTGTGAGTAGTGTTAAAAATTAAAGAAATGGTGGGGGGGATCTCTCTTTAAGTCAATTTTAGTATTAATGAGTTTAAAATGATTTATGAGGAAACATTGCTTGTTGGAAATACCTTAGAGATAGAAATTTTATCTACTGATGCTGGTAAAATTGGATCCTGCAGTGATTGCCATGATGTAATTATTAATGAATTGTTAGGAAGTTAATGGAGACAGAGCTTTAAGACAAAAACTAAAAACAGCCAAGGCTGTTTGGGCTCAGGCAAATCAAGGTACTGATAGTAAGAGCATTTAACTGTGTAGCATAAAATATAAATGATGACTCCATTATATTAGTTTTATTTTTATTTTTATTTTATAATTTATTTATTTATTTGATAGAGACACAGCGAGAGCAGGAACACAAGCAGGAGGAGTGGGAGAGGGAGAAGCAGGCTTCCCGCTGAGCAGGGAGCCCGATGCGGGGCTCCATCCCAGGACCCTAGGATCATGACCTGAGCCGAAGGCAGACACTCAATGACTGAGCCACCCAGGCGCCCCCCCTTATATTAGTTTTAAAGATCATAACCAGTGTTTGCTTTCAAAATTGAGTTGATTACAGATTTGTTTAATGGATAGGGATTAGTAGTAAGTAAAAGTAAAAAAGTGAAACTAAGAAACATTCCATTTCATATTTGATCTCCTTGGCAAGTTTCAGCTTTTATGAAGATCAGTCCTAGTGGGTGTGGATCTTAGGCCAGACAGTTCACTGTGCTGCCTTTGGTCATCCAGTGGGTAACCTTTGTCTCTGAAAACCACAGATAAAATTGCTTGACCTCACATTCATTTATATACAAGAATAACTTTTTAGGGATCAGAATGTTGGCTTTGACTATCACTGTTTATCTTGACTCTATTTTATCTCTTTATTTAGTGAAATCACACCAGAAGGAAGAAGGATCACTAAATTAGATCAAATTTTGCTCAATGGAAATAATATAACAATGGTAAGACAGTGAAGCTGTTTTTTTTTTTTTTTTTTTAAGATGTTAGCCCATTTCTTTGAGGCAGGTATTACAGATTACCTGCCTTGACTAAATGTTCATGGCTCAGTGGTGCTTAAGTTGGGAAGGAGATGCTCTTGTGATCACAGCTCTAAAGCTGAGCTACTGAAGATGACAATAGGCTTAGAGATTAGTTTGCTTGGGCTTTTTAGTCTTTTAGTTTGCCAAGAATCCTTGTTTAGGCTCTAAATATTAATTGATGGTGTTGGGAATTGTAAACAGAAGCAATGACCTGGAGAATATGGGAATGTGAGGGAGGGGCAGAGAGGCACAGTGGCTTTGATTGATGGGGGGGGTTATTTTTTTTTATTTTTTTATTTTTTTTTAAAGATTTTATTTATTTATTCATGAGAGACAGAGAGAGAGAGAAGCAGAGCAAGAAGCAGGCTTCCCCACTGAGCAGGGAGCCCGATGCGGGACTCGATCCCAGGAGCCTGGGTTCATGACCTGAGCCGAGGGCAGACGCCCAACCATCTGAGCCACCCAGGCACCCGAGGGCGGGTTTTTAGATGGTGTGGGTGGTGGTGTTACTAATAAACTCTTTTTCCTTCTCTGCAGCTGGTTCCTGGAGGAGAAGGTCCTGAAGTATGAATGGATTTCCGTGACTTACTCTGTTTTATCTTATAATGACAACAAGATAGAAAATTTTTTTTAACCCTTTAAGGTCTGGATTCTGTAAAGCTAAATTTCCCGTTAAAGGGAAATGTTTTGAAGATGCATTGTAAATGCTCATTTTTGTAAGTTAACCATTATTATCTTGGAAAAAGAACAGTTTGTTCTTTGAAGACTAAAATAAAAGTGTTTTTGGTTAACTGTCGTTTAACATTTTTTGTACTGCAATAACCAGTGTAACAAAGATTGTAGTTATTTTGTCACTTGCTTTCCTATAATTTTATGCCCATTTGCTTCCTCATTTACGTGACCATTTGATTCTCAAACAAAAATTGTTCCAAACAAAATGACCAAATTTCATTTTGAACAGTTGCATTTTAAAAACCTAAAATGATTACTTACAAAATTCAATTTAAACTCCAGTGCCTTGAAATGAAGATTTTTCTACTGAACTCAAGTTCCATTAACTCCTATTAAAAACAAGCAAACTTCCAGTTATAAAATAAGTCTCGAAGATGGAAAGTACAGCATAGGGAATATAGTGTATAATATTGTCATGACATATGGTGACAGATGGTGACTACATGTATTGTGGTGAGCATAGTGTAATGTAAAAAATTGTTGAATCGACTGCCTTCGGCTCAGGTCATGATCCTGGAGTCCCGGGATCGAGTCCCACATTGGGCTCCCTGCGCAGCAGGGAGTCTGCTCCCTCTGACCCTCTTCCCTCTCGTGCTCTCTCTCATTTTCCCTCTCTCAAATAAATAAAATCTTTAAAAAAAAAATTGTTGATGAATCATGGAACACTGCATCAAAAACTAATGATGTAATGTATGGTGGTTAACAATAAAAAAATTATTAAAAAAAAAAATAAAAATAAAAAAAAAATTGTTGAACCGCTATGTTGTACACCTGAAACTAATAACACATTGTATATTGACTGTACTTCAATAATACTAAAAAGGGCAGAATATACAGGTAATATATGCACATTGTAGAAATGGAGATAAGTAAAAAGGGAAATATTCATTACACTTTGCTGTATAGCCTCTTAGATTTTCTCAGTATACTCAATACACGTTATTTTCACAAAAACATGCTCATCCTGAATATACTGTTTTGTAGCCCCATTTAAGACTTTAAAAAAATTTAAATGATGCACATCTTTCCATGTCAAATATTTCAGCAATATTAGTGTTTGCATCATATTTCATTAAATGGATATACCATAATTTAGCCTATTTTTACTATTGGCCACAGTAGTCTTAACTAAATCTTTATACATCTTTATTTTTCTTAGAATAAATGGATAATGTGAGGTCAAAGGTATAGTCATGTTGCCAGCAAAAAGTTTGTACCATCCTACACTTGGCCAGCAGTTTTTTTTTTTTAAAGATTTTATTTATTTATTTGAGACAGAATGAGAGAGAGAGAGAGAGAGAGCACATGAGAGGGGGGATGGTCAGAGGGAGAAGCAGACTCCCTGCTGAGCAGGAAGCCTGATGTGGGACTCGATCCAGGGACTCCAGGATCATGACCTGAGCCGAAGGCAGTTGCTCAACCAACTGAGCCACCCAGGCGCCCTTGGCCAGCAGTTTTTCATGGTATTTTTTTTTTCCCGTAGTACTCTTTACATACTTCCCAACATTGGCTATGTTCTGCCTTCTCCTCGCTTTGCCACTGTGATAGGCAAAACCTGGTATGTTTAAAGTTTTCTTATTAATTTTGGACTCATTTGTGTTTTATGAATTACTTATATGAGGCTTTGCCATTGAGATGCTTGTCTCTTACAAATTTGTAAGAATTCTTAAGTTACTCTTAGTCATGTATTTTGCAGATGATTTTCCCAGTTTATAGTTTTCCCGTAATTGCTACTTTTTTTTTGACACAATGTATCTTTATGTAGTCATATGTTGATCTCATCTTTTATGATTTTTGTCATTGGTACACATGGATTAGAAAGACCTTTGGTATGATTATATTTTTGGTACTTTATGTTTTTTTGTTCCTTTTAAATCTTGCATCTATCATCAATTTTAGTGTTTCCATAACAAAAAAGGATCCAACTTTTAAGATTTTATTTATTTGACAGCACAATCAGGCAGAGCGGCAGGCAGAGGGAGAGGGAGAAGCAGGCTCTCTGCCAAGCAGGGAGCCCAATGCAGGACTCGATCCCAGGACCCTGGGATCATGACCTGAGCCAAAGGCAGCGGCTTAACCGACTGAGCCACCCAGGAGCCCCATCTTTTTTCTTTTTTTAAAATCCAACTTTATTTTCCAAAAGACAAAGCACTGCTTTGTGGTCTTTTTTTCTTTTTTTTTCATGGTATAAATACTCCTACTGTGGCTGATTTCAAGCTGCCAAGGGTTTAACGGCTAGCTTGCAAACTTCCCCAAAGATATAAGGGTTGGTTCTCAGGAGCTACTAGGAGCCTGTTGCGCTCCCTGCTGCCCCAACTTCTGACCCTTGCAGGAGAATGTTTTCCTCCAGTTATTTCTTTCTCTTTGGAGGGAGATCAAATGTAATAGTGCCCTCTTTTCACCTTTTTACTTATCATCCAATGGGAAATGGGTGGTCATGTTCAGCTCTTAATTTTTTTTCCTAGGAGTTAGCCTGCAAGGAGCTTGTCTTCTTAGGTTCAACATGCTAGGAGTTTTAGAGAAGCCTGACCTCACTTAGGGAGGCATACAATCACCTAGTCTGTGGCAAGGTGGATGAGTCTACCGGGGTTCTTGCCTACAGATAAGCAATATCCCTTAATCTAATCTTTAACAGTAATAAAGATGATAGTATGACTCCCATCTGCTTCTGCTTTTGTCTTATGCTACAATTTGTTTAGATTGGGTACTACTCTACATAAGCGTCTCTTAACCTTGACACTATTGACATTTTTGTCTGGATAATTAGTTGTGTGGACCATCCTGTGCATTGTAGAATAGTAGCATCCCTGGCCTCTATCACTAGATGCCAATAGCATCCTTCCTCTTCTTCTTCTTTCCCCAGTTGTGACAAAAATGGTTCTAGATGTTGCCAAGTGTCATCTTGAGGGCAAAATAATCACCCATGGTTGAGAATCGCTGTTGTAAATGGCAGGGATGCTATTTATTGGACTCTTCAAAATTCCCAAATGTTTGGTGCATGGGTGAGGAGCACTGTATCTAGACAATGAATAAAAATTGGGAAGAAAATCCTGTGAGTGAATATTGCAGTGGGGTAAAATGGGTGGTTTGAAGCTGAAATGACCTTGTATTAGGTGCTGACCATATAGGATTTTCACTTTGGCAGGTTGCTGGTGAGTGGCTGTTCTTCCACAGGGGTTGTTTCCTCTCTGGAGGCAAGGCTTCATGTGCTGAGCCCTAGAGTGATGGTGAGGCCTCAGCAAAAATGAGAGCAGCAAAGGCAGAAGGTATGCTGGCATTGGTGACTTCTGTAAGTTTTTCTCAAATTTTGGTTTGAAAACTGCTATCAGAATCACTCGGAGACTAGTAAGGCACACAGAGGTCCAGGCTTGTTGAAGTGGGGTAGGGCCTTGGGCCTTTGTATTTTTGTAGTGTTCCCAAGTTCCCCAGGTAATTCTAATCCTCACCAAAGCTTGAGCCCCACTGCCTTAGAGTGTAGGCTGCTGCAGGGCTAGTTTTTAAAGTAGGTGTGACTGAAGCAAGGTTTGATGATAGAGATGAAAATCTGTATATATTAGTGGACAGAACAGTTTTTGCTGCATTTAAACTGCAAGACAGCTAAGTTCCATGTGTATTATGGAGTACTAGTGGAGTTCTAGTTTACATTGTTAGTGCCAAGTCTTGGTGGGCAATGATTCATCTGCAGCCTTGAATGCCAGACTTTGGTCTGGACCAAGGAGGAATTTGTCCATAGGCTTGGGGGTCACTTCCCATCCATGTGGTCTCAATTTCATTCTTGAGGGTTGATTTGTTGATTACACAAGCTCTCATCATGCCTTAGATTTCAGGGTCCAAAATTGCAGCTTCACCCATAGAGGTGTGGTAGATTTCTATCAGTAAAGAAAAAAATGTGGGCCCTTATTGTCAAGGGAATATGACATCTAGGATTGAAGGTGAGAAAAATCTCAGTAAAATCGTTGTAAGCCAAAATAGGAATGCCTATGCATGGGGCCTTTTAGTTTTCAAATTGTATTTTGTAACAAGTTCAGACTTAGTTGCAAGATCCAGAAAGAGCTCCCACATACCCTAACTCAGACCCCACTCTGGGTTTTTTTTTTTTTTAAGATTTTTTATTTATTTGAGAGAGAGAATGAGATAGAGCATGAGAGGGGGTAGGGTCAGAGGGAGAAGCAGACTCCCTGCTGAGCAGGGAGCCCGATGTGGGACTCGATTCCAGGAGCCTGGGATCATGACCTGAGCCGAAGGCAGTCACTTAACCAACTGAGCCACCCAGGCGCCCCCCCACTCAGGTTTTATCAGTTGCCCCAAAGGTGTCCACAGCACAGGCTTGCAGTCCTGGATCCTGTGCTGTACTCAGTGGTCATGTTTCTCCAGTCTCCTTGAATTTGAAATTGTTCTTCAGTCTTCCCTTAACCTTTATGACTCTGGTATTTCTGAAACTAGCCATTGTAAAAAATTCCTCAAATTGGATTTGTTGTCTCTCCATGAGTAAGCTCAGAGTGCATTTCTGGCTGGTGTACCACAGGAGTAGTGCTGTTCTTCCCAATGCAGCTAATTGCACATAATGTCGACTAGTTCCATCTCTAATGTTGTTAACCTTGAGTTTTGATGATTGTCAGGTTTCTCCATTGTAAAGTTAAAATTTCCTCCATTTTTACTAAATATTTTGTGGGGTGATTTTCCAAGACCTTGCAAATATCCTGTTCGTCGTCCCACTTTAACCCACCAGTTTTTGTATTCATCAATGTTTCTTACTGACATTAGTTAGTAATTATTACTTAATAATTATTAAGTCGTGTATTAGAAAACAAGGTAGCAGTGAGACTAACAGGGATAAGACAGAGGAAACTACTTGAAGGTGGATGTTTCCAAGTATCACAAACAGAATAAGGACTAAATATTGAAACATTTTGACAGACTTAATCAACTTTATCCAAGGTTGACTGTGACTGAATCTTTGGTTGTTGCCCATTTCATTCTTAAATTTAAGAATAATCATGAGTGACATAAACTGGCCATTAGAGGGCACTGTGGAACAGGCAGCTAGTTGCTGAAGTCCATGCTTTGGCGCTCTCCCCAGAGGTTTCTGGTCTTCCACTCTGTTGTACTTATATTGGATCGCACCACAAGGGCAGGTAAAGGGTTGAATCTTACTATTTTACACTTATTTTTTACAAAGAGGAATCTTTTCATTCATATTTTCTGTATGAGGTGCCTTTTTTACTGTAAAAAATTACTGTAAAAATTTACTGTAAAAAATATTTGAGAGAGTGTGT